GCACCCCGCCACCACCGCCACCACGGCCCCCTTCCCGGCCCAAGTTGCCCCCCGGCAAGCCCGCTGTCGCCGACGTGGTACGTCCAGCGCCGCGAGTGGGAGCGGGGAGGGCAGGGTTGGGGGGGGAGGACACGCATTTGTGCAGTTTGGTGAGATTAACGCAGCAGAGCATCGTTAAGAGCGAGTAACCAGCGGGTGCTGCCTGGGCTGGTTAGGGTTCGATGTGGTTTGTTCACTGAGACAAATTTTGGGTGGAAAAACGGCACCGCGCACCTCCTGCCCTGCCTGCCGGCGACGCCAGCCGCGGGCGAGCGGTGGTTGGCGGTTACGGCCGAGGCGGAAAATGGGTGTAAAAAGGGAACGTGCCCATGGGAAGGGTCTGGCCGTGCCTGGCTGCCCCGGGAAGGGTGTCTGGCTGGGGGGGTGCCCGGGAATCCTTGGTGGGGCTCCCTGCTGCCGTACCGCACCAGCCGGGCTGCCGGGGTCTTCAGGTAAGTTGCAGACAGTTTTTGGATTGATGTTATGGATATAAAATCATAGAATTTTTGGATTGATGTTATGGACATAAAAATCATAGAATTATAGAATCATAGAATGACAGAGTAATTTGGGTTGGAAGGGACCTTTAAAGGCCATCTAGTCCAACCCCCCTGCCACGAGTAGGGACACCTCCCACCAGCCCAGGTTGCTCCAAGCCCAGTCCAACCTGGCCTTGAACACCTCCAGGGATGGGGCAGCCACCACCTCTCTGGGCAACCTGTTTTTCCCAAAGGATCTGTATCATCCCCAAAGGACCCAACGAGCTGTCCCCGAGTGAGCTGGCACGTGGTGGGCACCGCTTCCTTCCCGATGCGTTAACTCCATCCCACGGACCCCCTGGAGCTCCCGTCCTGGGTGCGGATGGGGACTTCAAACGCCCAGACCCACCAGATGGTGGGAATCGTCTACCATTTTTCTAGGTCCAGACTAAAACCATCATTGGCACTAAAAGAACTAAAATTGTTCAGTTTTGCACCAAGCCGGCGGGGCCTGGAGGTACAGAGGGTTACGGCTTCAGGCAAAAGCTTCTCTTTGTTTGATGCAAATGTCGCTGTGCATGTTTTCTTTAACCTTTTGTTATTTTATGTTTTTCTACAGTCCAGGCCTTTTAGCCCTCCTATTCACTCATCCAGCCCTCCTCCGATAGCACCTTTAGCCCGTGCTGAAAGTACTTCTTCCATATCTTCCACCAATTCCCTGAGTGCAGCCACCACTCCCACCGTTGGTAAAAACATACAGCACTGCTGTTCTTTCACCTTTCCTACCTCTGACCGTCCTAAAAAGATTCCTGAAACTTTCCTCATTCGCTAGATTGTTCTTCGGGTTCACGCTCATTAATTTTCATCAGGTTTTTAAAGGGATTTGAGGGGCGGAGGGTGGCGGATCATGAACGTGATGCTTCTAGGGAAGCTTTCTTTGTGGCAGCTCCAAATGTCATGAACAGTGAGTGGCTGGTGAAGGTAGAGGTTATCACCAAGTGAAAGATAATATAAAATATGCTTATGGTCTGTAAATTTGGTCAAAATAAGCTTTTTTTTTTTTTTTTTTGGCGAGGGATATTTGTACCCTGGAGGGGAGGGGGGCTGGAAGCCAGACCTTGGGATGCAGGAGACAACTGATATTAAATCTATTTGAACATCTTAAATTAATACTTCCCCCTTAAAGTGGTAGCGGGAAACAAGGTCTTGGAAAAGGCTCTTCCAAACTGTTAGCTTAACATGTTCCTAGACCAGAACAAAGCGCTGTGGTTTTCTTTTGGAGTAATGTCCTGAAAAACACGGGTTTTGCCAAACCCCTCAGAGCCTGAGACAAGAAATGCAAATAAAGTCTGGCTGGCAGCTCCCAGGCTCCACGCGCTGGGTTTCCCCCCCGTGCCTCCCTCCTCTGTCCCTTCGTCCCGGCTGTCGGCGCTCCCTCCATCCCTCCCTGCCATCCCACCCGCCTGCCGGCCCCACCGCCCCCTTGCTTCCCGCAGCTGCATCTTCTTGCCAGGAACATCCCTCCTCCTTTTGTTTTGTTTTGTTTTGTTTTTCTTTTCTTTCCATGTGGTTTTTGTGACCAGCACGCCTGGTTTGCGTGGTGGGGAAGGAGCTTTGGCCGGCGTACGCCGGCAGATGGGCTCTGCGGAGGCAGCAGAAACCCCAACCCTCCGAAAAAAACCAAACCTGGCTGGTTGTGCGCGTGTGCTCGGCCACGGTCCTGACTGCAGCATTTCCCACCGG